TTTTTTTACAGGTACCAATCACACAGAATCAATGCAAATCTGAGAGCAGAATACAAGTCAGCATTTTATTCTTTAAAAATAAGAATACATTAGAATTCCATTACATATTTCTAACAAAAAACACTTATGACTGATAAATAACATTAATATTAAAATGTACAGGTGAACATTGATTCAATTATTGATTGTGCCAGGCCATCATTTTGATATCACCACAGTGCTGACACATTTGACAAATGTTTTACAGTTGTTTTTGCATACTAAAGTGAAATTCACAGCCTCACTCATTCTTGCTTCTACACACCCATGAACCTTCTCTTTTTACAGGCCAAACAACATTTGTACAGTGTCAGGAAACAAGCCTTTATCCAAACCTCAAATGCCATCACCAAAGAGGTACAGAATATTTGAACCACAAATGTCTAAATTCATTAAACAGTGTGTTACACAGCAAAATAATAATATTCAGTAGACAGAGTGTCATAATAAAAATTCAGATGCTACTTCAAGATTCCTTTAAAGGGGTCATGTGATGCGTTTTCATGCTTTCCTTTTTCTTTAGTGTGTTATGTAGCCGTTTGGGCATGTATAAGATCTGCAAAGTTATAAAGTTCAGTGTCCCACAAAAGGATTTTTTCTATCTAAAAGAGAAGGCTGACTGAAACCTGCCAAAAACCCCCTGATTGAATTCTCCCTCACATATCTACTTCACTATTTGGAAATATTTGCATAATGCCGACCAAACTTATACGCAAAGAAACATTAAAGCATGCTAACATATTTTATTACACCCAATACACAAAATAGTGATCTTTGAAAATAGAATCATATGACCCCTTTAACTGAACAGTTGCCATGATAAATGCAGATATACTGTAAATGTGATTTTTTTTTTCTTTTTTCACCATGCACCTGTAACGAATCAGCTCATGGGAAATATAACAAAATATATATTGTGTGTTTGAGTGGTCCAGACGCTACACACCTCAGTGAACCAAAATCATACTCGGTGAGTATATTATTTATTTTTACAATCACTTTATTAAAATGTGGAAAACATTCAATATTCTGAAATAAGTTGTTGACTGACCTCTGTGTCTGTGTTTTATTTTTTCTTTAATTACTATTATTTTATTTTATTTTGTATTTTTTACATTAAGAGTGATTATGAGGCTGTTTACAACAACATGGGCAAGCTCAGCGTGTATTAAAATGTCTGATGATGGTGAACAAAACAAAATATGCTCAGCAGAATGTATGCTTTAAGAAATATAATCACTGTGTTTGAGTCTGTAGCATGTATTGACTTTATCAATGCTTTCCAGTATGTTTGTGTGAAAATATAAAGGTTAAAGAGATGGGTCTTCAATCTAGATTTAAACTGACAAGAGTGTGTCAGCCAATGCAGTGTTTAGAGAACCAGGCTAATATGGCCATAATTCTAGCTGCTGCATTTTGGATGAGCTGGAGTTTGTTTATTAAGAGCAACCACTCAGTAAAGCATTACAATAATCTAGCCTTGAATTCATGAATTCACTTTTCTGCATCTGACATTGAGAGCATGTCATAATTTAGAGATTTTGTAAGATGGAAAAATGTGCATTTACAATCACTGTAAAGCTGCTTTGAAACAATCTGTATTGAAGGAAGTGCTATATTAATAAAGGTGACTTCACTTTTGATTATAATATGTGGTTTATACGGTGGTCGAGAAGTGCAAAGCAGATCACAATTCTGAAAACAAAATAACAAATTACAAACGCAAATGCAAGTCTAAAAAACAAAATAACAATTCAGAAAGCACAACAACAATTCAGAAAACATTATAACAAGTCAGAAAACACAATGACAAATTCGAAAACAAAATAACAAGTCAGAAAACACAACGACAAATCAGACAAACCGGAAAAGGTAGGTATAGTTTGAGACAGCGCCATTGGTTTGGGATTACTCACCGCTGACTGGACGAGACATCTGTCAATCAACGAACACAGGAAAAACCAGCAGAAGAACAGCAGAGTCGCGGTAGAAAGTTCGGAGATGGTATTAAAGTAGCTCAGTTTAAATGTATTGTATAAACTGCCCTTACTCTGGAATAAAAAATACGGGGTTTTATTTACATTTAGTTAAAAGTAACTGTAATTCATCAGCTCTAGTGGCGCAGATGGATAAGTGCGTGCCCTTGTCTTTTTGACGCGATCGACCCGGGTTCGATCCCGCCTTTTGCCGAACTTTTTTTTCCTCCCTTTTCAAATCTCGTATTAGCAATGGATTCTATTTACACTAAGTGACAATAGCAGTATTTTTAGCAATATGCTATTTACACATAGTGCAAATACCTATTTACACTATGTTAAAATAGCAGGATTTATACTATCAAGTATACTACTTGTTGCAAATAGTGGCAATTATCTGCACTTCAGTATTGTAGTACATTATAAAACAGTATGCAATAATAACGTATTGAGTGTAAATTATAATTTTAATTTTAATTATTAAATGGATGCCACCTTATTGATACAATAAAGCCCTCCCTACACCTACCCTAACCCTACCCAATACTTTATTTTCAACTTTTTGATTATTTCCGTAATTTTTATTGAAAATAAATGCCTTTACGATGTGATACGAGATTTGAAAAGGGAGAAAAAAAAAGTTAAAGGCGGGATCGAACCCGGGTCGATCGCGTCAAAAAGCCAAGGGCACACCCGCTTATCCATCTGCACCACTGGAACTAATGCTTTACAGCCACTTTTAACTAAATGTAGTTATACACTCCGTATTTTTAATTCCAGAGTAAGGGCAATTCATACAATACATTTAAACTGAGCTACTTTAATACCATCTCCGAACTTTCTACCACGATTCTGCTGTTCTACGGCTGGTTCTTCCTCTATACGTTGATTGACAGATGTCTCGTCCAGTCAGCGGTGAGTAATCCCAAACCAATGGCGCTGTCTCAAACTATACCTACCTCTTCCGGTTTGTCTGAATTGTCGTTTTTCAGAATTGTGATCTGCTTTGCACTTCTCTGCCACCGTAGGTTTATGTGTGGACTCATATTCAGAATTTCAATTTAGATGAATTGCATGTATCACAGGACAATTTCGAATTAATATGAAGATATATTTGGAGCTCAAAACTATTTATGAGAAGCGTTTATCTTAAAGTCACATCTCTCAACAGACGGAGAATCTGGAGCCAATTTTCTAGGTAATAAATATATAACTTCTTGTGTTTATTCCCTATGCTTTATAATTAAATAATAAAATCATATAATTTGATAATTTTATTATTTTTGTTCCCAATCCCCCATAACCAATGCAAATCTGAGAAATCTCAGAATACAAGTCAGTATTTTATTCTATAAAAATAATAGTTTCTATTATTATTTTTTCATACATTGTTTCCATACATCCCCCACCCCTTTTAATGTTTCTCTCCACACTCATTGGTTGAGCCACTGTGGTTGTGTCAGGTCCTGCAGTGTTTGGGGGAAATCATTTTACAAATCTTTCACAGTTGTCTTTGCACATTGAACAAGAAAAAAATCTTCATAAAATTCACAGCATCACACATTCTAGTGTAACGGAAGCCAGCTGATAAGAGCTGTGCGGTTAAAACTCACTCCACTGATCTCAAGAGGCGCACTAGCGACTGACATTATAGAGGCTGTGGTCTTTAGCATCCTTGTTAGCGTGCCCGCCTCCCAGGCCAGAAACACCGGTTCAAATTCCGCTCGGAACAAGTGAGGGGAGTAGAACCGGAGGGGTTACATATCCATCACTCACTGATGACTCTTCTATATTCACAGAATAAACAACACATGTATTGTCCCAGAAAACATGCTTTTCTCCAAACCTTGTGCACCAACCCCAAAGAGGTACAGAGAATTTGAACCACATCTGTCTCTCAAAGCCTAAACTTATTACAAACCATGTAACACTATTCAATCTGTGAGCAGAGTGTCATAATAAAAGTTCCTGTGCTACTTCCTGATTCCTTTAACTTAATAGTTGCCTTGATAAATGCAGATATCTATGTTTTTTTCCCCCACCATGCACCTCAGCAAACCAAAATCCTACTCAGTAAGTGTATTATTTATTTCTACCATTATGTTATTAAACTGTGGAAAACATAGGCCTAGTTAGATGCTGTGGTTTCAAATGTTGATAAGTTATTTACTGACCTCTGTTGATTATGCCCACATGGATGATCTCAATGTGCATGGAAATATCTGATGAACAAAACAAGGATCAACAATGTTTTTTTACTTTAATGCTCAAAATAAATACATACAGAAGATTGCATACTATCAGAAACATAGTCTGAGTCTGTATCGTGTATTGATTTTATTAATATTGTTGTCTCTGCTCTACTCTGCCATTTATCAACACTTTCCAGCATGTTTGTGTGAGAACATAAGTATAAATAAATATGGCATTAAAAATGGATCCAAAAATGCTATCCATTCTAGCACCTCGATTTATATATTAATCCATATACTCATCATGTGCTTTATATCACCCATAACTAATCTGCATTTGTTCCATACATTAATAGACCAAAATGCATGGTAGGTGTTAATGACGTCAGTATCTTTTCATAACGGCTCCCTTTCCAATGCAGTCAGAGACAGTCCTCTACAGCAACCAACACTGCTTGCTTGGACATTTAGGCTTTTAAATGAATTTGCCAGAGAAGAAACACCACATGTACCAGTCACATTCAACACATTTCCCAACAGATTTCTTCCCCAGAATATTGTTAATTGACCATGATTCTAGTTGTTTTTAACATAAAATGCAATTAGAATTAACTTAATTTGCACATCTTCTCATTCACTTAAATATCCAGGTAATGCCTCTATGAATCATCAGAGGTCAAAGTTCAACTACAGTAATTAATTCATACTGTAAGAACATTTTACCAGGAAACCAGCAAATCTGTACAATATGCAGTACTTTAGCAAACAGTAAATTGTGCTGTTGTATATATTATTGCAAATTTGTTTGCAAATTTAACATTTGAAAGTAAACTGCTACTGAATTAACAGACTGATTAAACCAAATGCTGCCAGAAATAATCATCTTTGTAAAAATGATTGTGATTCTAATTGGACACAATAACAAGTTAAGATTTAATAACTAGCTGTGCTACACGTTTTGTACTTTGTTTTTAAATGTAGGCTACCACTTGTGGTGGCGCTGTTGTCAGGAAATACTGTTTTTGACTGCAGTGTCACAAGCGCATTGCTGTGATGAACTCTAACACTTAATAAGACCAAGGATGTATTTTTATTCCTGGTGGGCATTGAAATCACTTTTCTGAAAAATGCGTTTCTCCTTTCTCTCACTTCTCTAATTTTTCTCTTCTTGGTAAAAGGTTCTTATCCACTCCTCTACATAGGACTACTGAGAAGGTAAGAATGAAAAAATAAAATTGTTAAAGTGCTTTAGAAGAACACAGAAGGGAGAGAGAGAAAAAATGAATTACTATGAAGAACTACAATTCAAGTTATAAACTGTTAGGCAACTCTGGAGATTCATGCATTATTGACAATTACCTTTGGTTTTTGTTTATGTATTCACCCAGGAACATGAAAGCATCGCATCTACTTCATTTACTTTTCCAAGGTACAGTTTCTGTTTTCCTCTTTTAGGCATGTTTTGGGGCATATTTTGTCACATTAAATGTTTGTATACATTTATTAATATAATTTGACATAAATGTACATGAATTTAGGTTTTTCCACATCAGGCTACTCAGTTATCAAATACCAAAATCGAATCGAAATAATACAATCAAATACCACCCAATCAATACAATCTTACAGACACTCAGAAAACTTTACAGCAGTCAAAAAAGTCAGCTTCACAAGATCATTCATAGGTTTTATTCCGAAATAAAATGATAAGCTATAAAACAGACACTACACTCTAAAAATGCTGGGTTGTTTCAACACAATTTTGGGTCAAATATGGACTAACCCAACTGTTGGGTTAAATTTTGGTTACATTTTTAAATGAACTTTTTAACCCAACAGTTGGGTTAGTCCATATTTGACCCAAAATTGGGTTGAAACAACCCAGCATTTTTTAGAGTGTAATATCATCAGTTTACTCAACATTTAGAAAGAAAGGGTTAAACTCATAAGCTAATGTGCAGAAGCATTAGCCTTAACACTGTAAATGTATGTACGTGTGGCATTTCGAGGGCGTTGTAGATTTATGTTGCCTCAAGGTGTCGTTGGCAAAGGACTACAGATCAAAATGGAGGCTCTCTAAAAACTACAACACCCAGGTCACCAATGAAGTCTAGACAAATAAACAAAATTTGTATAATTGACAAGCACTGTGACTAAAAACAAACTCTGTCACCGCATAGAATTTTATTGAGATCTTGACTCAAAAATGTATTTTTTTTTTTTCTTGGACAATATGGAAACAACGTTATTTCTAAACAATATAGAATAACAATTGACACATTCCCATTACGTTTCACAACTAACTTCACAAAATTCTCATACTATAGACCAACTTTACACACGTGTCCATATAGCAAACCAGACATCACTCTGAACGGTATAGAGGGCTAATTAGATATTCTGAGAACGAAGTAGATGATGTCTAATATAAGTTGCCATACCACTTAACATATTTGGCCGTGTAGATGTTCATTGGATGATATAAAGCAAGCAATGCTTATCTAGTTGCAATATAATTTTTATGTATTTTCTGTATGAAGGCAATATCTATGGAAATGTCTGATGAAAATGCTACACGTCAAAACCAAAATGGGCTCAATATAGTGTTTTTATAAAGATCAACAATGTCAAACTTCATTAATAATAATAATACTAAAAAAAATTGTCATGCATTTTATGTAGCATCAAATTATTATGCCTTCCAATGCAATACTTAACACACTTTTATACTATATGCATTTATCTTTGGAATTCCATATCCTTTGGGCAGGTTTGAGCAAACAACTGCTCTGAAGTATCGTTCTGAATATATATAAATTAAGATGATTGTTAAACATTTCTCTACTACTTTTGTACCCGACTATTAAATATGATTCAATCATAGTATGTCCAATTAAAGTTTCATATTAAATTATTTTATTTGTGAACAATTATTTTGCTTCTCATGTTATAAAAAACGTGTGATGTAATACCTTCCTGAAATCACTAAGACTGGGAGACTTTTTTTTTTTTAATTCACAGTTTTATGCAACCAGTCAAATGCTCTCAGCTTGGCAGTTCAACAATTCAGTAAAAAGCAAGTGCTTTACAGTGGCAAATACAAATGTTTAATGAAATTACAAAGCTATATCGCATGTTGCATTTCACACAAAGTAGTAAAAACAAAAATGTCACACCATTTTTGGCAATTTTCCATGCAAGAATTGATCACACAAATATATGATAATAAAATAGTATTTTTAAAATTATATATATATATATATATATATATATATATATATGCAAAAATAAAAAGTGAAGGAGTAGAAGTCACTTATAGAATCATAATTTATATAATATTTTCACTTTCAAATAACTCTATATAGACTGATATTATAAGTATAATACAGATTAAGGATATAATACTTGGTATTGATACTTAAATTGGAAACTCCTTTATGCTTTTATGGCTGAATATGCAGTTATATCTTCGTCATCAGAGCTTGAACTGCTAAGGCGGCTCTTCTGGTTATGTTTGGGTTGTTTAGCAGCAGGCTTGGCGGAACAAGACACAGTGGTGTAATTCACCTCTTCTTCTTCGCTGGTATCAGATTCCCAGTCCATATTTGTGAATGGAAGTTTTGGCACACATGCAGAAGTAACATTCTCATAATCTGGATTTTCTGATCGGGAATTCTAGGAAGATGAAGAAATAATAAAACAAATGTTCTCAATATACAGTTGTATGTAAAAGTGCTCCATATAATTTCTGGTTTATCCTTATTGTGAACAACTTATTGTGTTTGTTGAACATCTTATCTTATTGTGTTTGTTCTGTAGACATATGGTAACTACAACTATTCTCAACAGAATATACGTAATTATGTAAACAATTTTTTTGTTAAACATGAACAAAATGTAAATAATGAACAAGTACATCATAACTCCATCTTCCAAACCGTTTTTCTTCCCCTCTTATCCTCAATTGCTACAGTAAGCCTATAATAAGTATTTTATATTTTAGACCTGTCGGGGCGGACTTCGCGGGAAATTGCATACACACAGTGTAACTTTTTAATATTCTAACATATTCCGAAGAAGGCTTACCGTTGTCTGCTTATTTTTTGATACCATAGCGTAGACTGCTGAACCTTCAGGTACTCTAAAATCACAATCATTCATTTAGAAGCATCATTAGTGCATTTGTCATATATTTAAATGAGCATGGAAATTGTACTTTTTCCCCTGATTTCATAATAAATACAAAGTTCTAACTGGTGTTTGACTTCAAATTTTCATTTTCCCTATCTGCTTTACCTTTTATCTGGCTCATTTTGTCCCTTGAAATCAAGAGTGACATAGTTTAGTGTAGATGTAGCTGCTTCATTGTCCATATATCCAGTTTTTTGTTGTTTGGGGGACTGTCTTCCCTGTAAGAAAAAAAAACGACAACTTGCTAAGCATAAAAACATCAGTTGTTTGTGATATTGATGTTTCAATGACCTCCTGTTAAAAAAAACAAAACAAACAAACAAAAAAACATTCTCTCACCGGTTTCATTTGTGGCAGTTTAATGGCAGCATACACCGTGTGGGTATTAGATTTCGGCCTTAAGAGAAAAAAAGATGAATTAATTTCATTGCACAAAGCAGATGTCTCCATCAGTTCTGCTGCTATTACCTTGGATTAAGGTCCTGTGCTCGTGTAGGATCTTGGGAATGGGGTGTCGGACGTGATTGATTAACCCTTCCATAACCTGGATCAGGAATGCCCTCCACTGACAGATTTTCCTGGGTATTATTACGTGATCCCTAAGTGTTTAAATATTCCAAACAAAACAGGATTTATGTCTTATTAAGCAAACAGATATATTTGATTGTTTAAAAAAAATGCATATTAAGGTGATTTCAGTATACTGTAAGTAGCCCAGTTGCGAAACAAACAGAAGTAAAATAACCAATGAAAGTAAGTTTGCCACTGTAGAAGAGCGTGACAGGAATACTGGAAAAAAGCAGAATGGATCATCTGCTCCACTTTGCTGATCTGATCTTGCCTTGATGATAGTCCTGTAAAATGACAAGCACAATAATTGGAATAACTGACAACTTCAAACTCAATACCTAATAGAACTACTAATATACAGATAAACTAATAAATGATACAAGCTTATTTAGTGATATTTTTCACTTAACATTTAGAAAAAGAAAGAGGAATGCACCTGCGTATCAGAAAGACGGCCACAACAATGAGAATCAACAGGAGAATGATGGGTAAGATGACCTGGTAGATCACCGTAAGAGAGTTACCTAAATGAAAAGAGGTTTTTAAGACATTTTTAATACTCAACCCTTTATGACTTAATCTAACCCACATTCATGAATTAACCCAGTTAAACCAAGAAGTACAAAATGTTGAAGCATTTGGCTTTAAACATGCATTTACAATGTGCTCATGTATAATTGTACCTTTTTTAAAAAAAGGGGCAGTATGTAATATTAACAGCTAAGCGGTTGATAGATGTATTGCAGTCCAAATTCAAAATATTGGAAAAAAGGTGTTTCTACTGCCCCCTTGACGCTCACACCGGTTGCCAGATTGAGGACGCGCAGCAGAAATGAATCTTGCACTATAATTTGATGAATTGATTTATCAATGTTTTAATATGCCTCTGGTCATAGAGCTTTTTAGATGGATGACGAGGCATTTTAGGTTTGGTAGAATCTGCGATCTCTGACCCAGTTTGTTTGCTGCATGACTTCCATGGCCACAAAATGCTGTGCTTTCCATCAACTGGCAACCTAGGCTGTTGAAATTTGATTGATTAAATAGGCAGTGGGCGGAATCACACATTTCAAAGCAGAACAACTGGCTGTTGCATTGTTTTTCAGAGAAACAAGTATGTGAACTTGGCATGTTTCCTAAGGATCTTTAAACATAATGGTGTTTTTATGCTTTCATAAAGGTTTCATTAAGGTTTAATGGAATGATATGCAGACAATTATCCTACACCCTGAAAGATATCATTAAAATATTAGGTAAATAAATTGCTTGGTTACACCAAAGAGGCAGTTGTAGAAAGACGGCCATGTCTAAAGTCTGGCAGAAGAAGTTCTAGAATAGCTAAATGCAGCTAACATTTTATTCCAATTTGAGTAATTTGGTAAATACATTTTTATGATGTGTTATTTCATACTCACTGCTGATAAATAACATGATGCTATTGGATCGTGATTTTCCGATGGCATTGACTGCTGTACAGTAATACATTCCTGGGTTCTGAGGCCAAACAGTGACATTCTGCTGTGATAGTACTGTGGTGTTGTCCTCCTCTCTGTACCATTTGTAGTCAGTGGCGGGTGGATACGCAACTGCACTGCAGGTCAAATAAACTGGAATCTCCCTATTCCGCTGAGTTAAAGTTGTCATGTTATGGACAATATTTATGTTTGGAGCATCTATAGAAAGCAGGAAAACAGACATGAATACTCATAATGTTATGTAGATGGAAAGCATTGATTATGTGGCTTATTGTTATAATTGAAAGTCGTGGACAACAACACATTTTTGGATTATGTAATATTACCCAGCTATCTTGACAAAGTCATTCATTAGACTACTTAAACTAATCAAAAACATTGGACAATCTTATATCTGTCAGAAAAGTCAAATTCCAAAAATGAAGTACCTTTTTGCCTCTAAAAGCTGAAGTGTGTCAAAAAAAAAAAACTAGTAGAAAAGAGTACTCACACTTGACCTTGATCTCTACAGATGGGGATTCTGTTTTGCCAATGGAATTAAGAGCAATACAGACGTACTGACCAGAATCAGTGATTTCCAGAGAGTTAAATTGTAGTTCCCGTTTATGTCCGACTGTATTTTTCGCCCCATTAAAGCGTTTCTTCCACTCATATGAGGATGGAGCAGGTTTGGAGTGAGCCTCACATGTAAGGGTCAGCTCACTCCCAAATCTCGGTTCTCCTTTAGAACTTGCACTCACATTTTTAGGTGCATCTATACACACATGTATAAAAAGATCCAAATTATTTAGTTGAAGTAATGCTCAAAGTCCTGTTAATCAGTTTGATCGCTTTCAAGTAAATGAAAGCATCTCATGCCCCTCAAAAGTCCTTGAAATGTCTTTTAAGTAATCGTACATATTTCAATTTTGATTGATTATTACTTACGCAACACAATTAGCTCTTGTTTAGTTTCTCGATCTCCCTCTGAATTTTTTGCTTTGCATGTGTACATTCCTGCATCTGACTCAGAGACATTCATGTAGACAGTCAACATGTTTGCAGATGCAGTGCTGTTCCTTCGATTGTTCTGAATATATTTCAGATCACCCTGAGGTCCTGTCACTGTGAGGTGTGAGTCAGGGCAGCTTTGAACCGTGCAGATAATGGAGATCACTTCAAACTCTCTCACTTCCTTCTTCATGATCAAACTGAGATTAGATGGAGGATCTGCAGAGTTCAAAAGAAAAAGTGACAAAAATGATTTGGCTATTCGTGAAATCATTAACTTTGACCAGTTAAGATATAGATTTTAGAGTGAAACAGACTTACAAAGAACATCAACTTTAATGGTGTGTGATCCTGTGCCAATAGTGTTGGTAACATCACATGTGTACTGCCCTGCATGTTGAATGGTCATTTTCTTAATGTATAACTGTCCAGTTTCCATTGATAATGGGACAGAAGACAGTCCAGGTTTGTGCTTCCATGTGTACATGTGTGGTGGAGGGTTAGCATCAGCAGAGCACGTCAAAGTCAGTGGAGTGCCCATTTTTACAGAGGCCACGCCCTTTATTTTGATGTTTCTTGGTGAATCTGTGAGAACAGAAAAACTAAAATTTAGAAGAGCATCACACTCAGTACAATATAATACAATATTAATGCAGGTTTTGGTAAAAATATATTATTGTAACTTATTTATGTGAAGAGATTTATCATTCAACATGCTTTTAAATTTAAAGAATTTTAGCATTTAAATTAGTTTATTTTGCAGAAGTTTTCCAAATGACAATGAGTAATGTTAACTTTTATTATCATAACTTTAGTTAACTTTTAGAGTTTGATATCATGTTTAGCAAACAAATAATTAACACATTTGTTTGTTGAAGGAACAAATAAATAATGTAAAGTGCTACAAATAATGTAATACTTACGCATTACAGAAACCCAGAAGTAATCTGATGTTACCGTTTTTATGCCATTATCAGCCCGGCACTGGTAAGATCCTTTGTCCTCTGCAGTAACTTTACTGATGATGAATGTCTCGCTGGTTTCACTCTGGACTTGGGCATTTTTGTACCACGTAAACTTATAGACTGTTGGGTTACTTTTCTGGACTAAACACTTGAGTGCCAGTTTGTCTCCCTCTTTGAGATCTTTAACGCTGACCAGAGGTTGCAGTGAGACACCTTGTGGACCATCTAAAAAATGCAGCACACAGGCACAAGAAATGCATATTTATTACATTTTAAAGTAAAATTTAATTATTTTAACAGATGAAGCACTAATAATCTTTATGACTTTCTTCAAAGGTATCTGTTTACATAAAACATTATACTCACACTTCACATCAATTTGAATGATATTTGATTCCTTTGCTCCATGCTTGTTTTCAGCTTCACAGTAATATTCTCCACTGTCTTCTGGTTTCACACTAATTAGTGTCAAGTCAGACATTTGTTGAGCTTTTTCTGTTTTCTCTTTTTTGAACCACTTGAAGCTGACATCAGGGCGACCTGTGCTGGTGCAGGAGAGAGTGACAGAATCTCCCTCCTTTACATTTTCAGAGCTCACGGTTGCCTTTGTCTCTTTAGGTGCATCTAGAGAAGAAAAGCGATGAAGACAGCTGCCGTAAATAATGCTCAGTCAGTGACTGTGTACAGTAAATATACAGTGTTTGTTCATAAACACATGATGTACACACTCACATTCCACAGACAGTGTGATATTCCTGATCTGGCAGCTGTCCTCCCTATTTGCTGGACGACAAGACAGAATCCTGTTGTCATCTTTCCATGTCACTTTGAGCTTCAATTTGGTGACCTTTCTGCCTCCTTCTTCTTCTTCAGTCTCTATAATCGTATCAGTTGCTGAGGAGGACATCCATTCTTGCTTTTGTCCTGATGTATGGACGAGCCATTCAGGATGAAAATTGCACGAACCAAATGTGGAACAGCGAACAGTGAATTCTTCTGACTCTTGGAGTGGATTTTTCAGCTCTGATGGTTCAGTGTGCACCTTACAAGGATTGTCTGGAATCAGGAGAAGAATATGGAGTGAGAATAAGTGATCCAGAACAAAGAAATCTATTATCTGAGATAATAGATTTATCTATTATCTTAATATAATAGATTGTATTAAGAAATAATCTATTATCTCAGTTCAAAACATGTTTTTTTCTTCTATATTTCAGTTGAACATATGAAAAGTTCCAGAAGCGACAAAAATCAAGGCTTTGTGGCACAATATTCTTCTTAAGTCATATGATCTGATGATCTGCTCTGTCGTAGTTTTATTTATGTGATTATAAGACGTTTACTCGTATATTGGGAGCATTGGGATTGATTACGAGACACATGAGAGTAGCTTCTTAATGAAGACTTCAAATATATTGTCGGGTCATATGAACTATTTTATTTATTACTTGCTATTTGTAATTTCTGGAGCTACTGGTCAGATTAAGTTTCACTGTTTAAAAAAACAGCAGCATGAACTTTCTGTTAAACGTCTTTTTTATGTTTCATGGATAAAAGTAATATGGATAGTAGGGCTGGGCAAAAAAAAATCGATTTTCCGATTAATCGTTTTTTTAAATGACGTCGATTCGATATCGATTCTCAAAAGCCGCGTATCGATCTTTTCCGGGCTTTATTTCCGCACACATTTAAAACAAGATCTGATTAACGTGAATCTTATCATTAGTCTTCTCCACTAGATGTCACCCTTATTTACCTTGCGCGATGTTACAACAGAAAGCCTGTCATTCGTTCAGCGCTTATCATGGCCATACGCGTGATTCGCAATGTTCAGGTGAAGTGCTATAGTAATACTATAAATCTGCGGAAGCATTTGATATCACGCATAAGGCGCCATGATTTCCGCAATGAATGAACGGCGGATGGTGCGGTGCACTTTTTTGTTAACAAAAATGAAAAAAGAAAGAAGAAAATATTTTACCTTCAAATAGAATCTGTTGTTCTCAATGGGCGTTTTAAAAACATTCAAACCGAGAAACAAAAGGAGAACATCACCTATGTGTATTTCTAACTTGTTATATTTGCATAGTTGAGCTTTCAGACATAAAAGAAATAGGCAAAAGTGCACATTCCTGGTAGAGATAAAGAGATATGTTAATTCTGTCTTCTAAGCGTGAAGCTCACTTCCTGTGACAGTGGTTAGTTCTGTTGAAACTATTGAGAAAATAAAACCCCCTCTAATGTAGGTGTCTAACGTGCTGCAAGATCAGCAGGGGTGTACAATCATGGCCAAAAGTTTTGGCAGTGTCATAAATTTTGTGTTTTGCAAAGTTTGCTGCTTCAGTATTTGTAGATTATTTTTCCACATGTTTCTATGGTATACTGAAAAACAATGATAAGCATATAATAAGTTTTAAAGGGTTTTATTGGCAAAAAAAAAAAAAAAAGAGTCAATATTTACAGTGTTGACCCTTGTTCTTCATAACCTCTGCAGTTCGCTCTGGCATGCTGTCATGGATCGTTGGAAGAAGTCGCTCTTGCAGGATGTTTTGATACCATTCTTTATTCATGCAGTGTTTTTAGGCAGAATTATGAGAGAGCCCTCTCCCTTGGTTGAAAAGCAGCCCCACACATGGATGTCTCAGGATGCTTCACTGTTTGCACAACACAGGACTCATGGTAGCGTTCACCTTTTCTTCTCCGAAACAATCAATTTTCCAGATGCCCCAAACAGTCGGAAGGGAGCTTCATCAGAGAAAATAACGATCACTCTACACAATAATCACAGCAAATTCTTGTCTTTGGAATAAACTCCCTGGTAGTTAAAATCAACTCAATCTGAGTGTACATGCGTGACCATCAAATAGACTCCAGCACAGAGTTAAAATAACTCCGCTCTTGGAGTTGAATTTTTAACACTTTTTCAGAGTTAAAATTTAACTCTTTCTGAAGTTAAAATACTAATCCTACGGAGAGTAATTATAACTCTAAAATTGAGTTAATTATAATATGAACTCCTTATCAGTGTTAAAAATCAATATTTAAAAAATATTTAATTTAACACTTCTTAGAGTTAACATTTATTTAACACAATAAAATGTTTTATGTGAAAATGACTACACTGAATGCCATACTCTTGACTTACTGCTTTTATTTGAGCAAATCCATAGATTAGGTTTAGAAATTCCATGCATGGATACACTTCGAAAATAATTGCGGTCATAAAATAATGTAAAATCTAACAGCAAAAAATTTGCATTTAATACATGCAGCCAGCTAACAGAGTGCCAACTAGAAATGTTTAGTACATTTGTATAAAACATTGCCAACAACACATCGCTGCATTATATAAAATCAAGCTTGCAGGTTTATAAAAAAAAAGTAGTGCAGTATAGGATTGTGTAACCTGAGGAAGACGCTTATACATCAGATGAAGAAACAAGGAACAACTTGTGATACCAGGACACATTCCATGAATTGGTTTGAGGTGCCTGAACAAATGCAAAGCTGAACCAAAGGATGAAGTGCAGAGGAAACAACTTAACATTTTGGTTGAAGAACAACTTGTGATACAAGGACACATTCCATGAATTGGTTTGAGGTGCCTGAACAAATGCAAAGCTGAACCAAAGGATGAAGTGCAGAGGAAACGACTTAACATTTTAGTTGAATAAGACAATTACTGCTTGTTCAACAGCCTTGCTCTCAGTTCTTTGACTTTTGGAGTTTCTTCAGATGTATCTATATCAATTTTGTACATAATTGTCTTCAAACATGTGTACAGGCTGGACAGAGCATAATTCACACTGAAAACGAAATTGGACTTGCTCAGTCAAAAGTACCCAAGGATGTACATGACTGACAAGGCAAAACTTTTCTGTCCAAGACAATGTAAAAGGTGGAAACCTGTGCTTTTGAAGACCCTGAAGCAAGAAGATATGGTTGAGGGTTTCCTTTAGTGGTCAGGAGATGATCATCAAGACTTTGGCATGACTGAAACACAGCACAAATGCCCCTTTATAAACAATTTGTTTAAACATAGGCATTACGTACAATATTTGGAATAGGATAGAGCTGTCTTAACAAACCTTATGAAATTTCACCAGATGATATGTTGCCTCTCCAACATTGATCTTCTTGGGCTGCTTTCTTCCAGCTGATTGTGGAGTAAGAAAATCCAGCAGGACAAGTAGAGAAGCCATGTCACTGTTCCATTCTGGAGTCAGAAAATAACAGTAGTTATTTTAAACTAGTCTGTTTATGGCATCTCTAAGTTACCCCTGTGTATTGTGCATCATAATATCTTAAAATTACGAACTATTAGTGGGGTAGTTATTATAGTTGTGCTGGAGAGCAAACAATTTTTAAATTTCATACTTACTGTGCATGCGCAAAGCCAAGGGAACTGTTACTCTTACTATGTTCTTACACGCATCATGTTTTTTTTTTATGTAAATAGCTATGAACAGCATTCCCAAAGCATGAATTTACTGATGAGCTTTATTAATAGACAAAATTTTAAGAAATAACTGTATTGTGTTTTTCGCAGAATTTTTGTCAATAAAATAATCAATAAAAACTTTTTAAAAAGAAGATTGATTGACTCAAGTAACATTACTATTTTGATGATGACTGTACCTGGATCATCATTCAGTACAGCTTTCAGATGCTGTTTTAGGAGAGCAGTCTCTTTAAGGTTCCTGGCCTCCTGGATGACTTTTTCTTTAAAACTGGTGTTCCATTTTTCCAGGAACTTTGAAGCAACCTCTGCTCCAAACATCAGTGAGAACTCTTGCACAATCTAATTAAAAAAGGAAAGACAACCATTCAGACATCTAATGTAACATAATATTTTTTTAAATAAAATTTCACATTCTCATTTAATACTTACAAGTCCTTTGACATCCAAGAAATGAGGAAACATTTGTAGTACATCAGCTGATCACTGCGGGTCGGGGAGAATCTGTAGTGGAATTTACGTTACAGTCTTTATACACCACTCAAGAAAGCCTTTGTTGCTCTGAATGTCATAGAAATGTAAATATAATCTAAGAGCTGCCAACAAACCTAGCAAGGGAAAAAAGGGTACAGTGTAGTCAGAGAGGGGGCCTTAATCCAACATCACAAGGCATTTAGTTTCTGAACCTGATGCTGCTCCTTACAAATTTCTACTTCAGAAAGGTAGGGGGCGCTACATATATCCAAAATGAAAATTGAACCGACATCTTTGACGTCTTCTGTCCGTGAATTACACGTCTTTTCTGCACGTCCCTGGACGTCTAAATGTGTCATCTTCTGGATGTTTATAAGATGTGTTGCTGCATAATTTAAGTATAAGCCTGCATATAAAATAATCACACACCCATTGTGCAACATCGTGAAAGGCACATCTGAATTTGACCAATGTTCTAAAAAGGTCCAAAATCGGTCCAGTCAGACCTGAACGTCTATAAAA